GACTGAATGTAGATATATGAAACCAATAGAAACTTTTGATCATGGATTTAGACCAGAAAATTGGTTTGAAGTTAATGTCTTGGAAGATGGAAGAATAGCATTAGAAAAAGTAAATTCGAAACTGGGTATGTATTCAAAATGAAATATAATAAAAGATAATAGGTAACTTAAATATCATTTTCAATATTATTTGAACATTTTATTTAGGTTTAGCATTTGACAATTGGGACTTAGATTTTTACACAGATCTATTTCTTAATAAATTAAAGCGCAATCCAACTAGTGTGGAGTGCTTTGATTTAGCACAATCTAATAGTGAACACAGTCGTCACTGGTTTTTCAAAGGTCGAATGATTGTTGATGGTGAAAAGATGAAACAATCTTTAATCGATATGATTATGGAGACACAAAAATATTCCAATCCAAACAATACGATTAAATTTAGTGATAATAGTAGCGCAATTAAGGGCTTTCAAATAAAAGTTCTACGGCCAATAAAGACTTACACATGTAGTCCTTTCTGTTTGGAAAATGTAGATCAAGATTTGATATTCACTGCAGAGACTCATAATTTCCCAACTGGGGTTGCTCCATTTAGGTAAATAATTTAGAAATTTCATATAATGTACTTCACTCTATGATATGTTTCATAAATATTATTTCAATTTACAGTGGAGCTACAACTGGAACTGGAGGAAGATTGAGAGATATTCAAGGAATTGGTAGGGGAGGATATTACATTGCTGGAACGGCCGGTTATTCCGTTGGTAATTTGCATATTCCAGGTTTGTACTTTATATAGCTTATTTACTTTTATAAAAATAGAAAAACGTCTTCATTAAATTGTCAATCTCTTTCTTAGGCTATAATTTACCATGGGAGGAAAAGAATCTACAATATCCCAACAATATGGCTTCTCCATTAGAAATTATAATTGAAGCCAGCAATGGAGCATCCGATTATGGCAATAAATTTGGAGAACCAGTCATATCTGGTTTTGCTCGTTCATTCGGTATGACGGATGAAGTTGGTGTGCGACGTGAATGGATTAAACCCATAATGTTTAGTGGAGGATTGGGTACCATGGATGCCAATATGTCTCAAAAAATTTTGCCACAGAAGGGTGAGTAGAAAATAAAATTTAAATGGTTTTTTTGTACAATGACATTAAAAGAAAAATTAACAATTTTTGTATATCAGGTATGGAAGTCATTAAAATTGGTGGTCCTGTTTATAGAATAGGCGTAGGAGGTGGTTCAGCTAGTTCTATTGAGGTAATTTTATATTCCAAAGAATAATGTAACTGATTAATATACATTCTTAATGATCCATTAAAAATTACGAAATCTATTATTTTGTTAGGTGCAAGGTGATAATAAATCAGAATTAGATTTCGGAGCCGTACAAAGAGGTGATCCTGAGATGGAACAAAAATTGAATAGAGTTGTTCGTGCTTGCACTGAGATGGGACAGCAAAACCCAATACTTAGTATACATGATCAAGGAGCTGGAGGCAATGGTAAATAAACATTCTTAGAAGACCAGGATATAATTAGATTGTATATTATAATGTTGAATCATTAACTGTTTGAAATTATATTAGGCAACGTTCTAAAAGAATTAGTAGAACCAACGGGTGCAGTAATCTTCACAAAGAAATTTGACTTAGGCGATCCAAGCATTAGTACATTGGAATTATGGGGTGCCGAATATCAAGAAAACGACGCAATTCTTTGCAAATCAGAAAGCAGTAATTTACTTAACGAAATAGCAGCGCGAGAAAAATGTCCCATAAATTTTGTAGGGATTGTCACAGGAAATGGGAAAATCATTCTTTCAGAAGAGGATAATTGTGATTCATCGAAATATCTAAATGAGAATTACGAACATAAATCGAGGCACCCAGTCGAGTTAGATTTAGAATTAGTACTTGGAAAAATGCCTCAAAAGGTGAACATAGAAATATAATAAAATAAATTAAATATAATAACGTTTAAGTAATAATCTTTTTGTACTTTTATAGTCTTTTAATCTGCAAAGACAAGTAACTCAGTTACCTGCTATCAAGTTGCCCGTAAATCTAACTGTACAAGGTATCTTAGAAAGAGTCCTACGATTGCCTTCAGTAGCAAGCAAACGATATTTAACTAACAAAGTTGATCGTTGTGTTACTGGACTAATTGCACAACAGCAATGTGTTGGTCCTCTGCATACTCCCCTTGCCAATGTTGCTGTGACAGCAATATCTCATTTCTCTACGGTAAAAAATATAAAAAATAAACAAATAAGAAAAATAAAATCAATCAAAGTTAAACAAAAATGCAGCAAACGTAATATTATGTATTTTATCCTACAGGTTGGTATAGCAACTTCTATCGGAGAACAACCGATAAAAGGTCTCGTAAATCCAGCAGCTGGAGCCCGTATGACTGTAGCAGAAGCGTTGAGTAACTTAGTTTTTGCACAGATTTCAAATATACAGGTAATTTATGAGTATGTATTAATTTAATAAATTTTTATTCTTAGTATAACTTATTTTTATATATTTAGGACGTTAAATGCAGTGGAAATTGGATGTGGGCTGCTAAATTACCCGGAGAAGGTGCAGCTTTATATGATGCATGTTCTGCTATGTGTTCAATTATGAATGAATTAGGAATCGCAATTGATGGAGGAAAGGATTCTCTTAGCATGGCTGCACGAATTGGGGAGGATGTCGTCAAAGCGCCTGGTACACTTGTGATTTCTTGCTATGCTCCTTGTCCCGACATACGACAAGTAAGTTGAAATTACTTTTACTTTTATATTTAATGTTATTTTCTATTATATTTTTATTATAGGTTGTAACACCCGATTTAAAAGCTCCTGCAGCTGGAAAAAATGGTTACATATTATTTTTAGATTTATCAAATGGAAAAAGTCGAATTGGTGGCACAGCTTTGGCTCAGGTTTATAAATCCCTCGGAAACGAAGTTCCAGATGTACAACGCGTTGACATGTTAAAGAATGCTTTCAAAGCTATTCAACAATTAATTGCAGGTGACTTAATAACTAAAGTAATTTATGAAATTTATTCTTTTATTTCAATGGAGGAAATTACTAGTATTTGAAATACTTTTCACTACAACAGAGGGAAAAGTACTAGCAGGTCATGATATTAGCGATGGTGGACTTATTACATGCCTGCTTGAAATGTGCTTTGCTGGTATATCTGGAATGAACGTGAATATTTCTCATAAATCAGGATCTCCTATTGAAATTTTATTCACCGAAGAAGTAGGATGGATACTAGAAATTGATTCAATAAATTACAATTATGTTTTGGAAGTATTTAACCAGTTTGATGTTCCTGTATATTTAATTGGACGATCGGAAGGATTTGGATTGTCATCGAAAGCATGTATTTTATACATTGCGTAAATTTACAAAATTATGTTTATGTAATAGATATTTTATGTCCTTAGATAAAAGTTCAAGTACAAGAGAAGATTTTTCTGGAATCAACAGTATTACCGCTAATGAGTCTATGGGAAGAGACGAGTTATCAATTAGAATGTCGACAAACGAATGTTGAATGTGCACTTCAAGAATTCAGTGGATTACAAGATAGAACTGCACCATGCTATAAATTAACATTTAATCCTGACGTTAGATCTACGGCAATTTACAAACATTTATCTTGTTAGTAAAGATTTAATTCGATGCAAAATCTAAAAATTGCTGGATCGTATTTATATTTGTTTGCCATTTTTTCAGCAAACATTCCAGTTGCTGTAATAAGAGAGGAAGGCATAAATGGTGATAGAGAAATGGCAGCATCTTTGATAGATGCGGGTTTCGAAGTTTGGGATGTTACAATGCAAGACTTGTTAAAAGATAAAGTCACATTCGATAGATTCAGAGGAGTTGTATTCCCTGGTGGTTTTAGCTATGCAGGTAAATTATTAATAGATTAATTTTTATTTTACAAAATGGAAACGAATAAAAATTAATTTAAATTTATTTCAGATGTTTTGGGTTCTGCTAAAGGATGGGCTGCGAGTCTTTTATTCCATCCATCTCTTCAAAAACAATTAAAATCATTTATTTCTCGAAAAGATACGTTTAGTTTAGGAGTTTGCAATGGATGCCAATTAATGTCTTTGTTAGGATTGATAGGAAATGAAGACGGTACTATTGCATCATTAAAAGAACATGTTTATAAAATTATTAAATACAATTAACGTTTTTAATTGCTTTTTTGTGTTGCAGATGATACTAAAGAACCAGATATTTTTCTAAGTCATAATGTATCAGAAAGATTCGAATGTCGGTGGAGTACTGTTAGAATTGATAAATCGCCATCGATTATGTTAAATGGAATGGAAAATAGTGTCTTAGGTGTATGGGTCGCTCACGGTGAAGGAAGGTTTACGTTTAGAAATAATGAGGTTTTACAGAAACTAAAGGAAAGTCATTGCTTGGCTATTAAATATACTGATGATTATGGTAATCCAACCGAACGATATCCACTTAATCCTAATGGAAGTACAGGTATTATTTAATTAAATACTTCTCTTAGATTATATAATATTAAAAATAGGGGTTAGCTACATAACATGATTCGTCTTTAAAATCTTTCATGGAGTTTGCCTTTTTATAAATCTACAAAGATACTTTAATTTTGCCTTATATACAACTATTCATTTGCAAATAATACAAAGGAATAATAATAACGAAATTTTATCTGGTTATATACAATTAATCCTGTGATCTATATAATATTTATGATTAATTACAGAGGGTATTGCTGGTATCTGCTCTGCGAATGGACGACACTTAGCAATGATGCCACATCCTGAACGCTGTTCACAAATATGGCAATGGCCTTGGAAACCCTCTAATTGGGAATATACTATTTCGCCATGGCAACGCATTTTCGACAATGCATACACGTGGTGTGTAACAAAAGATTGAGACAATAACTTTTTTTTTATAATATCTTGCATTAATGCAGTCAGTGTGTAAATAATGTAATCATATATTTTCTAAATAATCTATATCACGTTGTTTAACAAATCATAGAGTATTACAGATTACAAAATTCTTTATTTCCTACTTTCTTAACAAAGTATGGTAACGTTCTTTTATCAAATATTACAAAAAGAGAAGTAAATTACAGATTAAATTCGTTAACGCTTAGTTCGTATTATTTAAATGAGTTCTGTCTAACCTTGAACAATTGATTTGATGGCGTAAATTGCGAAAATTGATTTGTGGAGAAAATATCCTCTAAGTGTAAATCGCACCGTAATATCACAACTCCAGAAGGATTAACTTTGACTTTTATTTTTGTTTGTGGCGTTAAAATGCCATAATTTACATCTTCATATAGATCCTACAAATATGAATGGTTACCTTTAACATTTTATTACAAACGGTCAAGCGAAAATTTGTATTAAGTTTTTGTAATTACATACCTCTACATTGTATCCTCCAGGATATTGTAATCCGAGTTCTTTTAATGTAACGGACACATCAGACGGCGTACCATCCGTTCTTCTGTTTACGAACGCTATGGCGTAAGAGTAGTAATTCTGATAAACGGGAGTTATAGGTCTTGCCCAAATTTCAATACCTTTGTGCTGAAATTATAATAAAGTTCACATACATTCGAGTTTGGTGTCAATTATTCACATAAGAAATGAATTTACTAACTTTATAAATTCGTCGACCCTGTATACCTAACGGGTCTTGATCTACAGCAATGATTTTCCTATTTTGTAAAATAGCTTTGTACTCGGGCCTAATTGTTCGTAGATCAACGGACATTAATAGAGGCGCTGCTAATATTGCCCATAACGCCATTTGCGTTTTGCTCTGCTCATAACTTAGTCCAAAATTTCCAATAATTAACATATCAGGATCATTCCAATGGCCAGGACCAGCATTTGGTACAATTGCATCTTGATTATTTCCATAATAATCTATTATGGTCTCTAAACTATTCCACGAATCTTGTATATCATCAAAATTTCTCCATAAATTACAATGTTCTGTTATAGCAGTGAAATTTGGCTAAAATTTTGTGCAACTTAGAATTTTATAGCTTTCAGTCTACGATGATATTATATCAGTACCAACCTGCATGCCAGCATAAATTTGATAAACTGGCCAACTGCAGGAATATACCATTGGCCGACCAGTTTGGTTTAAATAGAATCCAAATTCAGGATATCCTATAATTTTTCATGAATTATAAAATTAGATCTCTTTCAATAAACATGTAATTATTGATGTTTTAATTATACCTCTATCCATCTCTGAAGGATGTGAATAACATCCATCTAATTTTACATAATCAACATCCCATGATGCAAAAGTAAGAGCATCAGTTTCTAAGTATCCCAATATTCCAGGATATCCAGCACACGTGTAGTTACCAAAATCCTCATAAATTCCAAACTTAAGACCTTTTGAATGAATCTATATAACAGAAATACATAACAATAAGTTTGTAATTCTTGTGGCAAAAAGTTGAATGGTATATTAAAACTTACATAATTTGCAAGATTTTTCATACCATACGGGAATCTTTGCCTATCTGGCACCAGCTGACCATTAACACTTCTATCTTTTTCCAGCCAGCAATCATCAACATTGATATATTCATATCCAACTTCTGCATAGCCTTCTGCTACAACAATGTCTGCCATTGTACGAAAGAGCCGATCACTATAAAGTATAAAAATATATTCCTCAAAATTTTAAACAGATTCATTTCTGTTAAATTGTAATTTGCAATTCATTATATCTTAAAATATGCTTCACTTGTAATATATTAATCTTTTGTTACTAATAAAACTCCTTGGACTAAGATACAGATTTATATAATGGCTATAACATAGCTCTAAGTTAAGTTATTAAGAATCATTCTTAAGGTCAGATAACGATGAATCATATTTAATATCTTGCAATTTATTCTAATTGGTATCTTGTGAATTGAATAACTATAATTTCATGATTTCAGTATTTCCACCTTTGAATATTTTCAATATGATATTTATCTTTTTTTAAATGTTCTATTATTATTGATGTTGAATAGTTTAATAATGAATAAAATAATAAACAAATTACTATAGATTTAAGAAAAAATATACAACTTTGAAAGTGTATTTGATATTATAAATAAACACATTACACAACAAAACAATTTAAATGTATATTAAATTAAAAATTCTTCATATGTATGTCTATAAATACAAAGAAACTAAAAATTCCAATAAAATATTTTTGACATACGTTTTTTGTGACCAAAAGCATTTCAAAATGCAAAAGTATTAATGCATTATATTTACATAAATAATGAATAATATTTTATATTCAAAACAACATTAAAACAAAAAGAAAAGTTCCAATGTTTGTTTATTTACAATCAAAAAAGAATTCATAAGACACTTATAGATCATATTTCATATTTTTTCTTGCTACCATTAACAATTAGAGTTTGTAATATTAATCTGTAGACATAAAGGTATATAACAAAGATGCTAATGAAGTTTCACTTTATCTTTAAGAATCACATTATAATGTTAAATATCATTCAGATAGAGAGTAGATAATGCTCCAATGTATAACATACTCACAAATATTAATTGAAACAGGCTTGCGAAATTCAATTAAAAAAAATGTGCAGAAATAAACAAAAAAGAGCAACGCTTACCTGATACAATTATCTGGATCATTTTTGCAGTCTGTGTTACACCTGAATCGTTCCCAGGCAAGCCAGCCCATGGGCGGTGTTTTCACCAGACCATTTTCAAGGGCCAATGTCAAATCTGCCACTGACACAATCAAACACCATATCCATATAATCTGCGACATTCTGCAAAAACGAACACGTTTCTTTCTAACTATTTCAAAAGAAAAACTTTCCACCAATTTTTATAAAACACCAAACACTAAATTATCACTGATTTTATGACTCCGGTAGCATAATGCTTGGAAAATCTCGAATAATTTAACAAAAAGAAGAAACACCGTCGGAGTCTAAGTAGCAAAAAGATCTGATCATTAGGAGCAAAGCAGCATCGCCATCCACATCCTGCACGGCTGTTTGCAGACTGATCTGATATAAGACCTCCAAGCCAGGAGTACTTTCACCCAATGCCCCATTTCATTTTTACACACAATCACCGCGTGCTTCAGTAGTGTGAACATTGATTTCCTTTCGTACACATAACGAGGTGGCTTCGTATACTAACGCATTAAATCGCCGTTGTAACTATTACAGTGCAATTACGCCTAGCAAAGACAATCGTAGCTATTTTATGTCGCGAATCTCCTTCATTTTTGATTACCTCGAGCGATCGTTGTACTTTGCAAGTGCTATATGTAAGTTTCATGAGGATGAACTACATGATGCTATCACGACTTTACAGTGGGGACACTATGATTCGGCACTCGGCAGCTTTATAGTTTTAACACGTTCCATGCCGCCATGAATGGCTGTCAGACGTCAATATTTCTAGCGCATGTAAAACAATTGACGGAATGTATCTTCGATGGTACACGTGGATTAATTTGAATAGTGCGACATTCAACATATTTAATAACAGAATTGTGTGAATGCGTGTACTGCATCCTTAAAAATATGTATGATGAAGTTATCAAATTATATCGCATAGCATTGTTGTTGCAATAAGATTGCCTCGCTTGTTTGTACCAGTCTTTAATCTTTCGGTGCACATATTCTATAAATTCTTTTCAACTGAAAATATTTGATTTTCAATTACTTTAAATTATTGTTATATTGAATTGAAGGATGTATTTTTCGAAATATTTTAATGGGAAAAATCTATTTTGTGGAAACATGATAAGAAGTAAAGAGAAAAATAGTTGTTACGTAATAATCTAGTGATTAAACGGATGAATGGTTATTAACTTCGAGCCTCGAAGTTCGAGGAAGCTGACAAACGTTCATTCGAGAATTACAGCGGTTTACGACACTAGGAATGTTCGTAAACGAGTTGCATACGCGAATATAAACTTGACATTTCAGTGACTGAGAGGGATAACCAGTAACGAGACATGTTGGATTCCAATATAAGGCGGACGCTTGGAACGTGCAACTTTAAGATTCGAGATTATTAGCTTGGAGAATATGTGAAAAAGTTACAAAAATGAAACATAAAGAGATGTTGTAAAGATTATATAAAAAAAATTGTTTGCCTTGTATGTATCTACAAAGAAATGTCATGTAGTTTTTTATCTATTATTTATTTTTTAATCATCGTGCAAGATAATCTTTTATAAAAAGCAAAAATGTGTTTAAAAAGTGATGGAGGCGTTATTTGGAGCCCAATTCTTAGTATCCACCGGTTTTACGGCAACTGGCAACGTAACTTTCCATACTTTCATTTTGATTATTTAATCGAATGGAAAAATCAATAGTAATAAGATGAATTCAGATATCCTTTTATCGACTGATGATATTGTAGTGATATCGATTTAAAAATATTTTCTAATTAAAATTCTGTAAACAAGAATATGAAGTAAAATAATGATCCTAAAAATTTTAATATTGCGAACGAAAAGAAAATTGCAAATAAAAAAATTATATGAAAATATGGATGCTTTTACAATCGTAATAAATCGATAACAGGATTGATTTTTAATACATTTTCAAATGATAATCAGTTTATAAATCTTTTTAAGAGATTTTGATGATATATTAAATTTCTTCTTATTAAGTAAATAGTTGGATTGTTATTATATAACCATTATTATATGTGATCTAAATAAACTCGATTTAATAAACTCAATCAATAAAATCTTTGGCATTTATTATTGATACTTATTATGTTATTTATATTATGTGTATCTTTGAAATCCATAGGATTACTGAATAACGATCTCAAAAGGAGCTTTTAATATTCGCCTTGGTATCTTTCACTTCACACACTTACTCGTTATAGCACAATGATTTTGACACAAAACGCATGTTTAGACACCGCGTATCGTTTATATACCTGGGAATTTGTATCGATAAGACAAATTCACACAAACAATTGTTTCGCTATCGCATAATTTGTCATATTTTATAGATAACAAATTTTTCTATCGTGCTGCTATTTATTTCTTACAAAACGATAACGATAAGAATAATATTTGTTTTGTTTCATTCATATAGCAAATAAATTATATTTATTTTTAAACTTTTCTAAATGTATATCGAGAGGTTGATAAATCATTGCAAACACAATACGCGGTAGTTTATCAAAGTGAGAAAAATAATACCATAGATGTTAAAAAAATAAAACTTCGCATACTACATTCTTTTGCGTATTATACACATTCCGTATATTTTTGCTTTTTTAAGTTCTCCATAAATGTGTAAAAATCCGTAATCTAACAATAATATTTTTCAAATTATTGGATGATTACGCGAGCGAGATTCGAATGTGGCGCCACGGCGCGTCACACCCCCAAATTATTTATTGTCCATCTCACTCGCGCTATGCCTTTCTTTGTTTAACCTCTTCCTTGTTCCCGTTCGGTCGTTCCCAACCCCCAACAATCCCGCAG